GGAAGCTACAGCAGTCCTGCAGGGCTGGCGATGTGTGGCAATATAGGCAAGTGGCCTGGTACTTAGGAGGGCACTCTATTGCTGGTGATGCCAGGATGTCTTTCCATCAATTGTCTTGTGGGCAGTGGATATAGTGAGGAGACCTGTGGAAAATGACAAGATCACACTGATTGGAGAGCACAATGACCACATCATGGGCGGAGACAGGGAGGGGCTGGTCAAAGACGGCCATTGACTTGGATGAGCAGAAGAGGCTGGGGTGAGATTCAGATGTTAACATCTGCATCCTTATTACACACATGGACTAGTGAAGCCTGCAGCAATTTGGGTCCCACGGAGTTCAAGTCACACTCAGGAACTATGGTGACATTAGGATGTTCCTTCTTCTGCCCTCCCCCAAGGGAAGCTGCTTCTTTGTCCTATGCTACTGTCCTATGTCTCAGAACCATTGGGTTAGAGGCTTCTTTAACCCCTAGGAAACTGAGGAAAGAGTGAGTTTGTTTGAATGGACTGAGAATCTGAAGAGCTGCTCCAAACGGCAGCTTCCAAGGAGATGCAGATGGAAGGCTGCTGGAATGCTCGGAGGACGTCTGGTAAATACATAGGGAAGGCAGAAGCCAGTGGGCAGTTGGTTCCCTTTTGATGTGCAACTTTTGCCGCCCCACCAGGGCAGAATCACACGGTGCCAAAAGTTCTCTTCTCTCCATTCTCTACTGGGATTTGGGACAATGTCGATATTTCTGCTCTCCTGCAGGTGGCGCCACAATGTAGGTTTTCAAGCAGCCGCCGGCCTGAGGTTTTTATCCCGTGCGCAGTGCAGCCCTAGCCATGAGGCAGCTCTTAGGGGAAAAAATTTCTCTGTAGCACTACCAGGCTCTGCAGATTTGTTTAACGATGAAATCTGGCTTTTATCAATGCAAATAGCAGCTCGGTTCCTGGGCTAATAAAATGGTGGTAGCTAAGTACAGGAAAAGTTAGAGATTTCTTTCTCCTCTTCTATTACATCTGGCCCTTTTATTCAGCCATGAGAGATGAGATAATACTTTTCTTCCCAAATCTGGCAATAAACCGCAACCAAAATCTCACAAAAATAGCGTCATTAGAAAAATAGACTCTATGAAGAACTATGTCATTTAGCTTCTCCCTCTTGTGGCCACGGGGGCCAGACAATGACCTACCCAGTTTCACTACCAGGCAAAGAGTAAAGTAGGTGACTCACCAGTCCACTGTCAGCAGGAAACAGACTGCCCACGCGTGTCTCTCTTCCCGCATCACCAGTGGGTGGGGGTGGCAGAGGTCCGAGAGCTACAGGGCTTGGACCTAATGAAGAAACATGCTCTGAACGCTTGTGTGAGGCTGTCTTTTCCAGTGTGTTTATTCAGAGCATTGGCTCACGACAGCAGACAGCCTACTCTCACCTCGTCTCACTTGGAAAAAAAAGATGGGCTCATCTGAAAAGCCCTACCATTTCTTGATGTGCACATCACACTTACCTTAGAGTTTCAAAACACACAACAGATAGTGTCACCTTTGAAAGCCACTGTAGCTCTGAGGGGCAAATGTGGCAGGTGAGGGATGATAGAGCTGGTTAGTGGTAGAGCCAGGAAGAGGGCAGGAGTCTTGTGGCCTCCAGTGTAGAGACCTTACTCACCCCCACTCCCGTTCACCAGAATGCAGGCACATCAAATGGGCCCTCAAGTCCTGTGCTGAAGTCACTTTTACTTCTCTGCTCTTCCTTACAGTGATCGCTATGCAATCTGACCCTTCAGCCTTCCTTCATACTGCCTGTTACTCAGTGGAAGGAAAGGCAGTGTGAGGTGGAGTCCCATCAAGAGCAAAGGAACCTGCAGCCCTTTCCCTCCCTGCCCATGGTTGTTCCAGCTTTCTGCACACGTCTTCCCTGTCATTTGGCTATTATTACTCTTCGGGCACCACATGGCATTCATTTCTCTGAATGAAAATAAATTACACCACACACTAGGCAGGAGATAAAGAATAATAAACACATTTTATTTGCCACCTCTAAAAAAAAAAAAAAAAGAAGGTCTTTGACTTCCCATCCATCCATCAGGAAATGGGCCTGGAACTCACAGCCATATTCACACTACACACACACACACACACACACACACACACACACACACCTTGAAAGGGCAGAAAAGACAATCAGGTGGCATTAAAAGTATATGCTAGAATGAGTGACTGAGAAGGGAGGCAGAACTGTTTCTCATTTTCCCCTCCCTTTCCATGTTTTTATGGTATTCCCTGAGAGCTGAGTACTAAACAGACATCAGAAAAGATCCCCCTCCCTCATTTATTGAACCATATTCTTTAAGTGACCTATTAGGGTTTTCCATGGGACTATCTGGGCTTACATCTGTGATGGTGAGATTGGCAATTTTAGAGGAACAGCCAAGAAAGCAATGCCAGTCCCAGGTGAGACAAGCCCACACAGACCTGAGGGTGTGGTCTCCTTTAATTCTGCATCCCAGGTGTCTCCCAGTAGTCCCAGTTCTGCACAGATAGACATTTGGCCCTGGGGCTTCCTCAGCCCTGGAAGGATGTCAAAGAAACAGCAGCATTGAATTATTTTGTTATGTGTTTCTCTGGACTTCTGAAACTAACTTGATATTGTGCGCTTTATCTAGTGTCTGGGATCCAGGGTTTCTGAGAAGAGAGGAGCCAGATCAATATATTAACGTAAGCTAATGAGATAACTCCTTGGTGCTTTCTGGGCCACGTAATACTCAGTGGAGAACCAGACTAACAGGGCTCCACATTGTCTCCTGGAATACCCTTTAACCAAAGAATCAGATGTCTGCTTTCCTCTCATTCTGGCTTCATTCATCGCCTTCTCACTGGTGCAAGCAAAATTTGAGCAAGGTCCTGTGTGGGTAACCCCAGCCTGACCCTCAGTGAACTGCCTGCCTAGAAGCTTGTATACCCTGTCATCTCACAGCTCATTTCAAAGTCTCCCCAGTTTACAACTTTGATTTCTGTGAAAGTATAACCTTTATAGGAAGAAGGAATTTATGCCACTGTCAATCATTTCCACCTTATAAACAGGTTTGGAGATGCTTGGATGGGAAGGACAGTAAGGGGCAGGAAGTGCTGGGTGTAGGAAAAGTTAAGTTGAAGAAGGGACATGATGGGAGAAACCAAAAACCCTGGGCTAGGTTAGATAGGATCATCCTTGATTGGTTAGGGGGACATGGCTGATGGTGCCAATTCCCTGGGACTGTGGTAGGAGTAGGGATGAGGGAGGCATGCAGAGTTGAGTAGATTTGGTGGGCTTGGGCATCCTGAGGTTTCTTTTTGTGGCTGAGGCATACCCTGGTGTGTGTGGGGGGGTCAATGCAGATGTTTTCTGGGTAGTTCTGTCTACTTCCTGTCCTCACCTATTTTCTCCTTTCCAGATAGCTGTCTAAACTTCTTTCTTAGACTTCCAAACTCCCGATGTTGGTCTTGTCTATTTGCAATGTAATCCAAGATCTAGGGTTTCAGAGAAGAGAGGAGCCAAGTCAACCTTTTCATATAGACAGCCCTAGACAAGTCAGGTTTCTCAGACTTGTGTTGGCCATTCGTGTTCTCTATACCCAATGCCTTTCATCCTTGGTCCAGGGTGCCTCTGGTGCCCTGCAGTAATGCCTTGGTGGGGGGCTGGGACGGGGCTCTGATTAGGAATGGGTGCATGCTTTGGCATCAGCTATGCCTGTGTCAGCTCTGAACACCTGCGGGTCCATCCTACTGTAGGCGCCCACATCCCCTCCTTCCCAGGCGGCTAAATGTGTCATACTCCAAGTGCAGAGTCTTGCGCCGGTGCCACCATGTATGCGCCCCTCTGCTCCACATCGCCACTGCCAGGGTGGCTTGGGGCCGGCCGAAGAGACCGGGGTGGGGTGGGGGACGGTGTTGGCAAACGTCCGCGGGAAGGAGAGCGGTCAAGCCAGCGGCGGTGGCGGTGTGATCGTGTGGGGAGTCGCCCCCTGCCCCCTCTGCCGGCCGCTCTCCCTCGGTCTAGATGTTAGCCGCGAGCTCCGAGCCAGCGAGAGCGAGCCAGAGAGGGAGCGGCGGCGGGCGGCGGGGAGGGGAAGAGGCGAGGCGAGGGAGGGAGGAAGGGAAGCAGGGAGGGCGGGAGGGAGGAGAGGAGGACCCAGAGAGCGCCAGGCAGCTGGAGTTTTTGCAGCGCTTGGCCGGGCTTCAATGCACAGCAGCAGTGAGCCGCGGCGGCAGCAGGCAGCCCGGGAGCTCCGGCGGCGGCCGAGCCAGCGGCGGCCCCGCTCCCTGCCCCCTGCAAACTTTGCAAGCAGCCCGCCCGGGGGGCCGGGGGCGCGCCCGGGAGGCCCGGCTCGGACCGTGGCCGAGCTCTCGGCCGCCGCAGCGCTAGCCGCCACCGCCACCGCCGCAGCCCCGCGCCTCCCCGGGGAGCAGCCGGCGGCTCCGCGGTCCCCCAGCCCCGGCCCTTGGGCACTGCCCGGCGAGTCCCCCGGCAGGGTGTGGGGCAGCAGCGGCGCGGCCGGCCGCGGGCTGCTGGGGGGCGGCAGCCACTGCCCAGCGAGGCGCACAGAGGGGCCGAGAGCGCTCCCCGGCGTGTCCCCTTAGCACTCGCCGCGCCCGGGCAGCGGCCCGACAGGGCGAGTATGGGCGGCGCAGAGTGACGCCGCCGTGCCCGCTTGGCATCAAGGACATTCAGCCCGCGGGGGTGGGGACGAAGGGGGGCAGCCCCGCGTCGCCACCGCAGCCCCCGAGAGCCGACGCTGCTGCTTGGGCTCCGGGGCTGGGTGGAGGAAAGGGGTGCTCGGAATCGATCCACATTTTCTGACCTTTTTGTTGGACATTACGCCCACCTTGGACGCTACCAGAGGAGCTGTCAAGCCCCGCAGGCTCTGATTTGGCCCCCTTCGTTTGTCTTTACTGCTCCCGGCTTCCCTGTGCCTCGTTGGAGTATTTGCGTTCGGGGCTGGGGCTGGAGGAGGCAGCCACACGCGCGCACACGCACACGTTCAGAGGAGGGCGAGAGGCAGCGGAACAGGCACCATCTGCAGTGTCAATGCGGCGCTCCCGCTAAAGGAGGGAAACGCGGCGCTTCCAGGTAAGGAGCAGGCGGGCCGGGGCGCGGGGCCGGGCGGGTGGCGGGGACAGCGCGGACGGAGGTACTCGGTCCGGTCCGGGAGTCCTCGGTTGCCCCAGAGTCAGTCTTCTGCACACACGCGCACACACGCATACACACAGGCACATACTGCGCTCACGCACCTGCCCACGTCCCACCTGGACACCCGCGTAGGTGCAGCGCGGCCAGAGGAGGGATTTTCCGTGTTCTTTATCCTCTCACGTTCCCGGACTCAGACTTCTCTTATCCAGGACTTTGAGGGTGGGATTCGGTGCAGGGCTGGCTCTTCCTTCTAACCGGGTAGACTGAGGGAACGATTTTTCCAGTTTCCAGTTTCCAGCCCCTTTTATTCCTTGGTTTAAAAAAAAAAAAAAAAGCGAGAGAAGTCATGGGAGGTCTTGGGAGATCCGCCCAGTATAATCGCCACACCGTGGCCTTTGAACACCCTGAGATTTTTATGGGAGACAGACAGACATATAGATTGGGACAGATGTTTGGTGAGCATGGTGACCCCCGGAGCACCGGGAGGAAGCCACATAGGCGGCTAGGGCTGCAGTTCTGTAGGGCGGTGCATATGGAACAGACACTGCGTTTCCCCAGTAAGAGGCAGCAAAAACGCCTTTCTGAAGCATAGCACTGCTTCCACAGAATACACGGGATCTCAGGCAGGAAGGGGCTTAACATCGTTGTGTGTGTGCTGCTTGTCTAGGGAGGTGCCAGGGTCAGATCCTCCTTAAACGACATGACCCGATTCACATCCCCGGTCCCTGGGAGATAGCAAGCAGACAAGGCTTAAGGTTGCAGGTCTCTGGTCTCTCTCACCTCCCTCCCCTTCCTTGGGCACCTGGGGCTGCTTTCCCCTGTACCTCTGACTAACACCTGTCACACGCCTTTTGAGGTGTGTGTCTGAGAAAAAGAACTAGAAGCAGGCAGTGGGGAGGGAGTGTAGTCCTCCAAGGACTCTCATTGGTAGTGCCCACCCTATATGGAATTCTTGGGTCTGCCAGCGTCCCCCAGAGCCCAACTGCTTCTAAATGCAGAACTGCTCTCCAGAAGCCTATGCTCAAGGTCTTCTTTTCCCTTTTTGCCTGGGTGTAGTTTCACAGGCTGTTCATTTTCAAACTTTTCCTGGAAGGAGTAGGTGGTTGGGATTCCAAAGGGGCCTTTTCTTGGTTCCTGTCTTGGGGTCTAAGACTAACTTCTTTTGGGGCTCAATTGTTGTAGGGAGAACAGGAGATTCAAAGAAATCATTACTTCAGGGTTGAATATGTGTATAACAAGCTCCTATGTTTCTATAGTGGTCCCTTTGAGATGGCTTTTGGGGCTATCTGGAAAAAAATGTAGTAAGCTCATACCCACGAAATATGATCATGTGTTCAGAGTGTCCCCAAACCTACCAATGGGAGAAATAAGCTGGGGGTTTTCCAGAACACGCGGTGCGAGGTACAGGTATTCTTTAGAGCAGGTAGGGCTCAGTGCTGGGTGCAGAATTTGAGTTGCTTTTGTAAATCTCGGAGATGGGCATAAGTAGAGGACTTTTCCTGCAGCCCCAGCTCTGCTATTTCCAAACTTTTTTTTTTTTCAGCACTTGCAAAGGTCTCTGGCTAGACTGGGGAGAAGAGCAGACGCCCCAGGAGGGAGATTGTATTCCTGCTGTGTGCAGTGTGAGCTGCCCTTTGATTGATTGAAAAGGGTAGCTGGAATAAAGCAAAGCTCTCACAATGGGGAGAACCCAGTCAGGGGAAGAAATGTTATTTTCTTTTTAAGAATGGTGGGCGTGTGCACACACATCCAGACATACACATGCGTTCTCAGTGTCTAGCCAAATGCAGTCAACTGGTCCAGCCATGTGTGACTGTGAGGTCTACCTCTGTCTTCCTGGCTGTGGAAAAACTGGCACCTTTCTTCACCCGTGCCCTTAGAGTGCGTGGACAGGGAGGTCCCATGTATACGTATAGTAGCACATGGTTTGCAACAGAAATAGGGAACTCTAGTAAAAGTAGGTGCCTCCCAGGTAAACATTCCCACAGGGGACCTGGAAAGGGCAAAAGGTTGGGGTGCAGAGCTTCCTGAATTGTGTATGCATCTCCCCTGTAGTCCTCTGCTCATTTCTCTGTCCCTCTCCCTCCCCTTTTTCCTTTCTCATATATTTGCAGCCTCAGGATCTGTCATTTTAATGTGAAGCCAGCAGTCATTATGTTGGTTATAAGCCAAACATCAGGGTTCAAAAAAACCCCACACTTTCTTGCAGATAGCACTGGGTACCGATTTGGTTTCTAGGACAAGGCAAGCATCATTAACATCTGTGTAAAGCTGGATGTACATTTTAATTTTTTTTCCTTGGCCCTCTTGCCCAGCCCTGACATTCTCTCTTTACCCTCTTTATCACTCTTCTGTGGCCTTCGTTTTAAGTTCTCTTGGTTCCTCCCTGGAAGGCAGTCAGCCACATGCAATAGAAAAGGCCTAGCCGTGAATGCTTCTTTCTGGCCAACCCTCACTGTGTCTGGGCCATGTCCTGGTAGCTCTCTGGGCACGGGTTGCCCACAGGCTGTGCCTTCCCGGACTTGCAGGATTCTCCTTTTGGCTCCCAGGACTACCTTGATGCCCACCGACGACCATGCATAAACATTTCCTGAGGAATCTGAGGCAGCTAACTTGTTCCCTTTTTTCTTTTTCTGCATCTCTCCTCTCTCCCTCCAGCTCCCTGCAGACAGGGAAATCTGTGTGGCAGAGTCTGCCTACACTTGGCCTCCAGATCCTTTTAATCACAATGAGGACTGCTGGGAATTAAGTGGGGGCTTTTGGGGCAGCAGCATTCCGGAAATAGGGAGAAGGATAAGGGGGATGGGTTAGTAGCTGCTCTTAGCTTATAGTTATCACCAGGCTTTGATGCGAAGAAATTGCCGTGAGTTTCTCTCCTCCTAGCCAGCTGGGGGCATTTCTTAGCTGCTTCTCCCCATTCTCACCAGAGAAGGCACTGCACCGACAGTGCACATCGAGACCGGAGACCTGTTGGATGGCTCTATGACTGGCCATGTTGGGGCGGCAACAATACTGAAAACCGACCTTGATCTTGGCCGTGATTACTCTGTGCAACAGATGTTCTACATTCTCTCTTCCTCTTCGTATTTGTGTTCTGTGCTACCTGATGTGAAACTGGTTCAGACTCTGGGCTATTGAACAGGGTTCATTTCCCTCCTTCTTCCAAAGTCCCCTTCTTCCCTCCACCCACTTGCTAATCCGCCTTGTGGCTTTGTGCACACATCCTCTGGCCCATTTGCCCTCAAATTTGCGGCACTCCAAGAAATCAATATAACATGAATTTAACGACAGCTGGATGATTAAGTGTTATTTATATTTAAAAGCGGCATTTAAAAAAAGACCTGGTGCTAATAAATCAAAGGGATGTTTGGGAGATGCACATGATTAGGGTAATTGCCCTATAGGCTCCACTGAGCAGTGCTTAGTCCATCCAGAGCCCTGAAGACACTGTCTCTTTAAAAGCTACAGTCCCCGCTGCTCCCTCCCCTAACACCCACTCATTCTCCCCCCCCTACAGCCCCCCCACTGTCCTGACTTACTCTCTAGTCTCCTGTCCTTGCTGCCCAGGCTGCAGCATTCTAGTTATGACAGGAAGGTGGAGCCAGTGGGGAGATCAAGGGGGCTCTGCTTACGAAAGGTAAGAGATGGATCTTAAAAGGGAAGGCAGGCAGGGGTCCTGATTCCAGATCAGAGGCCTTGTTCCAGAGGAGGCTGCTTCGCTGCTTGGTTTGAAGCAGCTTGGAAGAAAAGCTTCTGAAGTCCTGTGTGAGGACCCCTGTCCTATAATTGTGTAGCGTTAGTTCTCCAGGAAGAGCCTTGAGGATATTAGTATTAGTTTTTGTCCTTATGAACACAGTGGAACAGAAAAATAATGCTAATCAATGATGACGACAATGCTAATTAACGACGACAGTGGTCAAAACTAGGGAGACTTCCTTGGATTAGTTATCACTTAAGTACTTTGCCTGGGTTGGCTCATTTATTCCTCATAAGTACCCAGAAGAACAGTTGCTATTGCTGTCTCCATGTCTTCTGTGATGAAACCGAGAAGAGGGAGGTTAAGGACTTTGTACAAGGTCACACCGCTGCCAAGTGGTGGAACCAAGTCTCAATCCTAAGCAGTCTGACCTGGCTTCTTGTCACTAGGCTATTTGCCTCCTCAGAATCTATGTGGCCAGCATGTTTCTTGCTGTCCCCTGAGGAGGGAGACTAGTGGGAGAATTATGCTGGAGGCAAGTTTAGATGACCCAAGTTTCTCTCTTGGAATAACTCTGGCCCCAGGCAAATTGATTTATTCTTGGACCCTCAATTTTCCCATTCATTAAGGGAGTTGAGTTTTATCCTTGAGTGTTAGTAGATTGTAAAGCTGCATAGATCTTTCTAGAAAAGTGCTGAGTACCTGAGTGAGACTGTTGCTTCATTTAGCAACTCCCATTTTCTCTTGGGAAAAATTGGGGAGAAATGAAGGGGTGAGCTTGAAGTGAAATCCCCATTTCTGCTTTGGATTCTGGGAGACTTCATATGTGGTAGAAGTCTGGTTTTCTCTAGTGACTGCTCTGAATTGCTGGTATTGTGAAAATGACACTTTCTCATTGAATCCTGAAAGTAACCTGCAAGGTGGGTATTGTGGATTCCCATTTTGATGTTATAGGAACTTAGGAGGAGAAGAGAGTTTAAGTGAAATGCCCCAGGCCCCAGGTTGCTAAGCAACAGATGGCAGGTTCACTCCTAGGCAGGGTTTCTTCTCTGTACATTGCTCACAGACAGTGAGCGCTGCTCCATCCTTGTTCTTACATTCATTCTCTAGGGTTCTAGGTGTTGGGTGTAGAGATGGGAAAATGTCATGCCTTGTTGAGTGCCTGGACTCTGTGGTAGTTGGGGCAGAGGCTCATTGGAAGTTGGTTACAATTGTCTGTATGAGGAGAGTGGTCCTGTAATAC